ACACACACACACACACACACACACACACACACGGACCAGTTCAGTAGCTCTCTGGCACACGTTTGGGATTACTGCTGTTGTTTTGAGTGTGTGAGAGGAGGAAGAAGAGGAGCAGGAGGAAGGCGTCTGTATTTGGTGCTCCCTCTCTTGCCCTCTTCCTCTCCTGGAGGGGGGTCTGAGGGCAGCGAGAATGCAGAGGTAGAGAGAAGACCGAGGGGGAGAGAGTGAGAGGAGAAGTGGCACTGGGCTGCAGGTAGGAGCAGATTTTCACATGCATAGTTTGGTTCAGTTTCTAATTCTTTGCATTCTTCTTCGGCTTAAAAGAATGTTCAGACTTCGTGTGTTTTCATTGTTTGTTTGTGCAAAGGGGATTTTCAGCTGCTTTTCTGTGCATGCTGAGGATGCAGGTTAGTCCTCCACTCCGTCATGGGAACGCTGCTCTGTGGAGCATTTTTCCGTGACCCGGCGAGCGGTGATTTGTGGCGGCAGCGTCGTAGCGACCGGTCAACGCGGCAGGCAAACACGTGTTTTCTCTCCCGGGGTGACCCGCATCTGCTCCGGCATCGCAGGAGATAAAGAAGAGCAGCTGCTCGAGCACATCTTCTTTCTATTCTTCCGCTCTTTCTCACACTCCTTCGCTCTGACACCTTTGAGGAGGATGCAGACGGATGATGGCAGTGTTCACCTCTGACCTTCAGCCAACACAAGGATGGCGGTTAAACATGAGCGGTCAAGAGGTCGCGGCGCTTGTGTGTCCCGTCTCCTGCTGAAGAGTGAAAACAGCACGAAGGAATGCAGCCTCAAAATAACACTTTTCTTTGTTATTACATTTTTCTGGAGCGTTTTTTGGATTTTATTTAGAAAACGTGACGTAACCTTGAACCCGACGCCCACGCTGTGGCATCACACTCTTCAAACCGGTCATAAGCCTCATGGGAAATGGCTCAGCCACTTTCTCCACCTTGTCAAAAACCCTGTTTAACTGCCAGCCGAGCCCTAACTCATGTCTCCCCGGTGTCTCGTAACATGACGGCGTTCTGGAGGAGTGATGCTGTGGAGCTGCTGTTCATCCATCCCTCTTCAGCGATTAGTCTCGTCCGTCTGTCGTTCGTTACAAACCTCGTCTGCTTCTGTGCATTTCATCTTTTCACACATCGGACAAGTGGCAGAAGATCCTCTGTACTCTCAATTTGACTTTGAGTTTGAGGATATTCTGTGGGATCCTCCACGAGAAGAGAACACAAACGACGAGCTCTCCAAACTATGTGCTGGTGAAGCGTTGAAAAAGCGTTAGCGACTGGGGAGGATGGCATTTAACTTGCAACCACACAAGAGGCCAACGCCTGAGTTAGTCGAGCCCGAGCCTCCCTGCTAACTTATTTCTGTCAATAAGAGACAAGCGGCTGCAGAGGAAAACCAACTTTTCCTTATAAATCTGAAGAAAGGAGTAAATGTAGCTCAGGATGAGGATGCCTTGTTTTCTAGAAAGTGTTTTATTGGACGTGTCCACCGTTGATTTTGGCTTTGGCGTCGTTTCTTTATTCTCGCTTGACTCTGCTATTAGTGGTCACATGAGAGTGAGCGTCCAGCAGCCACCCCTAATTAAACAGGAACTGATAGGCTAACGCCGTGCGGGACAGACCAATCAGCAGCGCTCCTTCCAGTAATGATGAAAACATGCGTTAGTAGATAAAAAGGTTTTCATTCAAAGATTTAAAAAATCTGGTGATTGGTGTTTAAATGACCGAACGTCTCTGATGCGCCATCATGTCCCTCCTGCTTGTATAGATTTTGTATTTTGTTTTGTCTGAACCATTGAAACGTTTGTGCCTCTCGGACAATTTCCTTGAAGCTTATTTATGGCGTGTCGACCATGTGGAAGTGATTTTGTTCTCATGTGAAAACATATAACCATTGAGCCGGTCGGTACTTCACCAGGAAGTTGTCGCTCGGTTGATATCACGTCGCAGACAAAACATTTAGAGCTTCACAGGGTGTTTTTCATGTTGTTTGCGATACCGTGTGTTGACGGACATCAGTGGAAGCATCTGGCGGGAGACGTGTTCTAGTTCCAAAAACAATTATTCCAACTTTTTGTTTGTGCACAGAAAGTTCTTTACGTCCTGTTTGTGCCACAGCCTCTGAAACAGCAACAAGACATTCACGGTCCGAACCAGAACGACGACTCTTTCACAGCTTTTTAGTTTGGTCTGAACCAAAATATCAGGTGTGAATAAGATGTCCTCCTTCTAACCCTTCTGTTGTGTTTTTTAATTATGTTCTTCTCCCTGATTTAAATCTCTCCATCTCATATTGTTTAACCGGTTAAGTAGAATTATTCACCCTCCACGTAAACCAACAACAACAGCTGATGCTTAAAACCCCTGTTTGAGCTTCGGTCCTTATTTGGAAAGTGAGGAATGACTTTCTCAGCGCAGCAGCAGCAGCTGTGTGGGCAGGAGGAGTGTTTGAGGAATTCTGAGTGTGGTTGGACCAATGGCCAAGGATTATTTATCAGAGCCGGTGACATGATTTATACGCAGGCTTTAAACCTCATCTCAAGAAGTAAGATCAGAGATTATCGTGAACAGAGAAGTTAGAGGCTGAAGATTTGTAGACAGACAAAAAAGCTGAAGACAGAAACAGTGAACGAGTTGAAATTGTCCTCATTGTGTAAACGTTTCTGAGCAGCCCAGACGTCCTCCTCCGTGCTCCAGACTCACGCTCTGACATCGTGCATCATCAACGCTGATCCGCTCTCTCACCGTGAGGACGAGGGCTCAGTGAAACTCACCTGAGACGTTTGACCCTGCAGCTAATTCGACGAGCCCCTAACGAGGCCTCTCGGCTGGGTAGAGATTGCAGCGGGGCCCCCTCCTGTGACTTGTTTGACTCCTTGTTCTGGCTCAGTAGCTCCTCAGACGCCCCTCGTGACCTGATGAGATTAGAAACTTGCTGTTTTAAAACCCTAAACCCTCCATGAGTCCCTTCGTTTTCTTTGTGGTCTGATGGTCTCTTAGCTGGGAAGTTATTCGAGGGACGCATGTCGAGGTCAAAGAAAAGGTCAACATTTGTTTTATTTGACTTAAGATGTTGAAATATTTCTCTAAATCTAGACTTTTCTCACCTTTGACGGATCAAAATCAAATATCAGAGCTGGATTTTCTCTCTGACCTCGATGCCACAGATGAATCTGCACAAACAATAACCGACGGATGAATTTCAGGTGTTACTCTGGCCCGACGCTGAGGCGTGTGGCCGGGGCCTCTCAGAGACGCCTCCACTTTTATCCGTCTGAGCGTCTGAAGCTCACGTGAAGCCCGTGTTAGTCCGTCTCTGCAGCTGCAGCCTCCATATATGGCCGAATTCAGGGGATGTTGTTCTCTCGCTTTGTTGCACGGCGATGTGTCGAGGATTTTACTGAGACACGGCGTGTGGAGGAATGTGAGATTAAGACGATGGCGTGCGTGTTAGATCTCTGCCGCCTCGTGTGAGTTATCTGCAGAAATATGTTCTGAGAGAATAAAAAGTTAAAGTTGCCACGGTCACTACACCTCTCTCTTACCTTCAGATTGATACTGGAGGAAGTCGTGGTTGGGACATCTGCAGAACAGCACCTCCTGTCAGCTGTGAATGAAGGCAGAGGCTCTCGTTATGAGGCCCCGGGGCCACTGGGGCCGCTCGTGTATGAATGTCAGCCGCGGCCCCGGGTTAGTGCAGGAGCAGTAAAGAGCAAACATGAGCCGACTCATTCCAGGCTGCTGGTACCGGAAACTTCATTGTTGGGTTTTAGCTGCGTTGCTCAAGAGCACATCAACTGGAGCAGATGAGAACTTATTAAGGAAGAATATATATTTCTTCATGATGAAGATGAGGCTTAAATGAACCTTCTCCTTCCTGACTCCACTTCACTTTCAGATGCTGTATTTGCAGTTAACAGGAATCAGGAGATATTAAACTGTCACTGATACTTTGAGACACATAAATCTGTTTCCTGCCCTCGGCCTCGAGGAGGATCTGACTCGAGCCTGAAAATGTTCCCATTTAAATTCAGATTTTAAAAACGGCGCTGAACATCAAGTACTGGCTGATTTGATGATGCAGATCAAGTATCACAAGAAATCTGCCACACGCACGGCTCCGCATCTCAACACAGTGTCACAGATCATGCCGCACTATGTGGGACCTGCTGTGCAGCGATTCTTATCTGACTGCGACACACATGATGATGATCACATTACAAAGTCAATGATTGTTTTCTGGAGCAAACTAATTACTGCCGCTTCCTCACCGCGTCTGCTGTCCGCTGATATCGCTCGCTCTCGTCCTCGCAGCTCGTAAACATCCATCAGCCCCAGAACAGACACGCTACATGCACACGTATGCATGCATGTTTATGTGCACACACTAGAGTAAATACAATCAAGTGGAAGTCACTCAGTTTGCAGAGGGAGCGATGTTTATGCACGGTAATGAGTGATTTGTGCTGCAGAGGCTGATGCAGACTATTAGGAGCCACGCTGGCTCGTCACGGATCCTGCGAGCAAACTGCTTTGAGAACTAAATGGGCCTGTGATACCCTCACTGCTATTTAAAGAAGCTGCATTGCAACATCAGGAAATCTATACCACTCTAATTCTGAGGTGATATTATAATTAGGGGACAAGTGATACTGTTGCTGGGAGGTCTGGCAACAGGTACCGGCTCCGAGCTCTGGATTGTATTGCACCTGTATGCCAACCAGCTGTGTCCACCGTGAAAGCTCCAGGAAAAACAGCTTGTTGTGGAGACAGGAAGTTGTTTAACAGGACARACAGAGCTGAAGGTTTTTGTTTCTCTTCCAGTTTCAGCATGAGACTGTTTGGCAAAGAAAATATGAAATAAAAACGTCAATGGTAAAGGCACGAAAAGAGCTGCTGGTGATGAAACAACTGTTTTTATTTGAGATACAAATTCTTATGCAATAATCTTTATGATTCATTTGATGAATCAGCTTCTCAAATGAGAAATTATATTGTTCTTTGTCCGATTCAATAATAAAATGAACATATTTGGGTTTTAAAGGCCCAGTCAGACAGAAGGAGACACTTGATGATGYCATGATGGAATAATAACCAGCAAATAGACTGCGGTGCAGGATGTGACACACACGGAAACCAGTGTGTGTTTCCTGTCGTCCTTTATTGATGCACATTTACCCACATGTTCAATGCCAGAKGTTGATGTCGGACATTATAAGACACCAGCTGGTTCAGCTTCTCTCAGTGTCTCAGGATGAAACCTACAGCTCATTGATTGGTTGTTGTGCCGAGTATCAGTGAATCTGACGCAGGGACCACGTGGAAATGTTTGTGTCACGTGAGTTTAAGTCACCGATCATATCAGRACGACATCAGGCAGTGGCGGCTGGCCAATAGAGGGCGCTAGKGCTAGGACCTATTGATTTATCTATTATCATAATCATACTACATATACTTACAAGCCTCAAGTGGTTTTTAATGTTATTGTGGTAATTTACCGTTTATTTAACACGTCTAATGAACTGCGATTTCCATGACTGTGCCCATACGAAGGTCAAACAAAACCTCTTCAAGTTTATGTTTCCTTTAAAAAACACACAAAAACCAGGAAAGTATTTGTAAAAATAGTGAAAAACATTTATTTTAATCACTTCATAAATCCCTCCATTAACCCTGCCAGTCCTCAAGCAGGTGAAGAAGGTACGGTCAGCTCAGGTGCTGTTAGATGGAGCTGCTGACTTCTTCCAACGCTGTGGTTTTCTCAACCCCAGAGCGTGGCGGAATCTCTTCCAGAGTGAAGGCTTCTTTTGTTTCTCTGGGAGAACACTGGAGAGAGACTTCTCCTCAGTGACGTCCTCCTTACTGAGAACGTTCTCCTCCTGGAGCTCAGTGTTCCACTTCTCCTGGTTGATAGTCTGATTAAGACAGACATCCTGATAAGAGGTTCTGAGCTTCATCAGCTCTTCTTGAAGAGCGTTATTCTCATCCTGAGGCAGCTCGCTGGTTTGAGTCTCCTTGTCCATGGAGTCAATCTTTTGGCTGTGAGCTTGCCTTTCCTCCACCTCTGTCACCACAAG